CGTTTGCCAACACGACTTTTCAATCGTAGAAATGGGAATTTTCGCTGAACTTCATTAGTGTTCATAAGGCAGTATCCCGAGTGACAGTTCGGCAATCGACTTATATTATGTCCACCATGTGCTTCAGGGCAGGTTGGTGCAGGGACGGTGACTTGCGCGTGAATTAGTTTTAACTGATAGTAGACTTGCGCAGCATCTACCTCTCTCTCCCCACCTCCTTGAGCCCAAAGTCAAGAAAACTTGAAACGGGATAGGGCGCAGTGGCTGACAGGGCCGGTGAACTCGTCTGCGCGCGCCACAGCAGGACCTGGCCTGCTTGGCACACACACCAGGGGAGCCGTCGCCGCCCGACCCCCAGTCCACTCATCAGTCCCTACACACTGGGCTGATGGACTATCCAGAGTAGTTCATTGTTCGCGCATTGCAGAGGCCGTGACTTTAATCGTCTGCCGACAGCCCGGCAGCCCCAAAAGATACAACTTACTAAAAAAATATGGTGCAAAGCTATTATGAAAGAAATTAGATCAGGACAGCACGTCTTTCGCTTCCCTTATTAAGAGAAAGTGTAAATACGCTGTTTTCTGCGTGCGCATAACCACTGCTGTGCATTTAGATATATACTCAAAGCCATCAAGAAACCCATTACGGCATGATTGTGCTCATCCAATGGTTTACTTATCCTGTTAGAAGCTGAACGAACGGACGCTGGGGAAACAAACAAAACGCAGTACCAAATTCTATTCTAGGTTAGCATCAACAAACAAATATATGTGCTCTGACACAGCAGGCAAGTCGTCACAATGACTCGTTGCTGAAGTGGTTTTAAAGAAATATGCTGGCGACATCAAGTCTTATGACAGCCCCGCAAAGTTCGCTAATGATCAGCACTACGATCACCAACGCACGCTGCTTCGCACATGAGCTCAAATGTAATATCCTACATGGACTCTAATGATTAGTGGTCGGGAAGTGACTATGAAAAAAAAACTTTCTTATGCACGGTCAGCATTTGCCGTTGGATGTTTTGTAGTGGCCTCCAGCAGAAGATGGATGAAGATAGTGAGAGCATAGAATTTTTCAGACAGTAAAATGCAGCAAAAAAGAGGTAAAGAGTCGTGTTTTGGAATTTATCTAGCAGCTAGTTTCCGGTAACTAAGTTGCAAGCACGCCTACCGTGCTAGAGACCAGATGTCCCTCCAGCACTAGCTAGTACTAACCGCTAATTCAGCTTGGGGACAAAACAAAGGCATGGAATATGAGCAGGGAATCGAAATGGATTTCCAACGTAGACGTGTCACTTAAGCTAATTTTACATTAGACATCCGCCAGTGTGACTTTTTTAGTGATGCCTTAACTATCTGCTCTTGGAGATAGATCGTTGAGTAGACAGTCAATTAGCAGTCGCACTGCGCTCAAATTTTTCACTATTTGGCGTTTTCGGTAATAAAAAATCTTGAAAAATTCAAAGCGTGGTATATGAAAACATTATTTGATTGCGGCGAATTTAAGAAGAGATGGTTGTTTTATTTTTAGACTCAAACATCGGACCCGTGATATGCAAATCTAGTGATCAGCCAATTTCTCAGAAACAGTATTATTAAGAGTGTTAAGCAATAAATCGAAATGATTAAAGGGGTTGAGGGGACACCCATGATAAACAAGTTTAGGAAGATAAGACCATGTGAAGGCGAAAAGATCTTCGATCAGAGGTTGTGAAGCAAAAAGGATGGGAAATTATACATTTTTAAATTTATAGTTGTAGAGCCTTCGAAAATATGGCAAAGGTTGCACGAGTGGCTAAGCAGATCAGGTTTTCAGTAAATGACCTAACAAACACTTGGTCTTGTGTTTCTAATCACAAAACCGCCGTCTTTAATCAAAAACAAATTGAGTTTTACAGCACCCTCTCGCAACAAACATTCAAACACCCAACCTAACATAATCTAGGTTTAACGCACTTTTCGAGGCGGCAAATTAGTACTAAAGGTCTTGGGGAAGATTGCAAATGTTAAATTGGTTCGAGTACGTATCCATGGAAGTGGTTAAATCGAAAATAGGGCAATACACAACTTATGCGATCCGGAATATTCAAACGTTTGAAAATAAGGGCAATCTTAAAATTTTAAAATTAACAGATTTATCTCATTTCCGGCAAACAGATAGAAACATGAAAATATCGTGTTATATTGTGAAGCACGTACTTCATACAGGCCTACCTGGTCGCAGTTTCCACCAGTCTTATATAAAAATTGAGTTCACTTGGAGAAAATCTGCATGCGATTTGGCACAATCGTTGTTTAAAAAGCACGGCCATTATGAGCGCCGCAGCTATATTTCCACTTATTTCGTCAGTCTATCCG